CTGGCCCCTTTTTGGCTCGATTCTGGCCCCTTTTCGGCCCGATCGTGACCCCTTTCTGGCTCGATTCTGGCCCCTTTTTGGCTCGATTCTGGCCCGTTCTTGGCTTGATTCTGGCCCCTTTTCGGCTCGATTCTGGCCCCTTTTCGGCCCGATCGTGACCCCTTTTCGGCCCATTCTGTCCATGTTGGTCCCATCATTCCATCCAAGACTTCTGGCCCGTCCCTGTCGAGTTTTTTTTTTTTTGGAGGGGGGGGAACAAAAATACAAGCGAGCGAGAAATTTCTGCCCAGTTTGGCCTTAAGACTCTGGACCTAGGTTCTGCCCAGTTTGGCCTTAAGACTCTGGACCTAGTTGCGCCACTCGCCTTCTCCCAACATTTTGAATGCATCTGGACAACGAGTGTGTCCAGATCCATTCAAAATCTTGGCGGCAGGCAAATGTGCAGTGCAACTTGGGCCTCTGTCCAGTTTGGACCATTTCTCGCTGTATGCGTGTCATCCCTTGCGCAGGGACCATTGCTAATCTTTTCCATATCGTTCCGTTTTTTCACTAAGTTCTTCTCTCATTTCCACCTCTCATTACCTACCTACCTTACAGCCGTTAATGCGGTCAGATACATTTCAAATTGCAACTAGACGTTTATTTCCCCAAGTTCTTCTCTCATTTCCTTCTCTCATTTCCATATCGGCCGTTAATGCGGTCAGATACATTTCAAATTGCAACTAGGCCCTCTCCTACGCCTATACAGGGGGGCCTTCTGCAAGCATAGCTACCTCTCACAATCCAGGTGTATCATTCCACGTTTTTTTAAGGATGTCGCAAAGGCACCCCCCTTTACTCTGTACAGTTTGCCCCTCTACTCTCTCCAGTCTGGCCCGATTAGATTAAGGACATACTCACACTGCCGCTTTTCAACTTACTTATACCTGGACGGAATTGCGGCCAGATTCATTCAGGCGCGGCCGTTAATGCGGTCAGATACATTTCAAATCATGCCAGTTGTAGTATGAGTACGCCCTAACTCTGACGGATCACATCCAGCTTGGCAATTCTTTTTTTTTTTTGTTTCTTTTTTCTATAAAAAATTTGGACCATTTCTCGATCTATGCGTGTCAGCCTTGCGCAGGGGCCATTTTGGTAATTACCCTTCTCTGTATCGTTCCAATTTTTAACGGATGTCCCGAAGTACAGCTTGGCAATTCTTGTGCCCAACTCAGGGCATATTCGCAACCGACGACTTTCTTGACTCAGCTCTGGACGTGATTGCCGTCAGATGCATTCAAGTCTATAGATGTATTTGCAGTCCGATGCATTTTGGAACGTGGTAGTGCGAGTATGCCCTCATTCCTTCCACCCTTCTTCTTTTTCCATTTTGGGACAGTGCAACGGCCTTGACATATCATAATTGAACTGAGCGCGGGGCCACGTGTACTTCTGAACTATCTTCTTCTGCCTAAAAATCTTCAACCTAATACCTTTCTCGGCCTTTTGGCTAAGATCAAGGGCCTCGCTGCACTACTCTTGAAATGTGCAAAACGAGAGTGAATGTTCCGCTAGAATATGGACAGATACACCGCCATGATTTTTGTCTTTTGTGCATTTCAAGAGTAGTGCAGCGAGGCCCCAAGTGTAGTATCTGTTTTGATCAGTTTAATATCTGATCCGTGGTCCATCGGACCACACGATATTAAATTATTTTTTCTGGGCCACGGAGGGGTCATACAGGTAAGCTTGCTGCAGTGTTGCCTCTGTATTGCACTGCAGCAGAGTGCGGCGCAGCCCTTCCCCTCCACGGGGAATCAAAAAAAAA